CAACCTGAGGTTTGTTGGGGTTTTGTGTGCAAAGCTGCTTTGAGATTTAGATGTCTTCTTTTGAGATCAGCACAATCTCGCCGGCAGCGGACGGGGCTTTGGAATTTAAATTTAAAAATAAATAAATAAATAAATAAAGCAACATGGATAAGAGGAGCTACTGGCTGCGGCTTCAGAGTCCCAGCAAAATCCTTGGGAATATTGGATTGTCCGGCCTCGGAGTTAAATTAAAAAAGGGGACCGAAAAAATATGGTGGTCGTTATGGTACAAATCCTTTGTTTTTTGTAACAGGTTTAAAGGTGGTGTTAGTGGGATTAACGGGCAGGCAAAGGATGAACCTCCTTGGGGAGGTTTAAATTGGGATTAGGGCGTCTATGGGAGGGGGCGAAATTGTGAAGATGCAGCAGCCAGACAAATCAAAGTATCATTTCTTTTTTTTTCTTCTTCTTTTCTTTCCTTTTCTCTTTCCTTTTCTTTTATTGCTTTCTTTTATTCTTTTAGTTTAATTTATTATTTTATTTAGTTTAGTTTAGTTTATTATTTTATTTAGTTTAGTATTTAGTTTAGTTTATTATTTTATTTTTATTCACTGATTTAAAACATTTACATTATTCTTTTAGTTTATTATTTTATTTTACTTTATTACTTTAGTTTATTTTATTATTTTTATTTTATTATTTAGTTTTATTTATTATCTTACTTCTTTTCTTTTCTTTTGTTTAGTTTAGTTTAGTTTATTTTATTTTTATTCACTGATTTAAAACATTTACATTATTCTTTTAGTTTATTCTTTTATTTTACTTTATTACTTTATTTAGTTTATTTTATTATTTTATTTTATTTAGTTTAGCTTCTTATTTTATTTACTTTATTTTATTTAGTTGTTTAGTTTAGTTTATTATTTTATTTTTATTCACTGATTTAAAACATTTTACATTATTCTTTTACTTTATTCTTTTAGTTTATTACTTTATTTTATTATTTTTATTTTATTTAGTTTAGGTTCTTATTTTACTTATTTTATTTTATTTAGTTGTTTAGTTTAGTTTATTATTTTATTTTTATTCACTGATTTAAAACATTTACCTTATTCTTTTACTTTATTCTTTTATTTTACTTTATTACTTTATTTAGTTTATTTTATTATTTTATTTTATTTTATTTAGTTTAGCTTCTTATTTTATTTACTTTATTTAGTTGTTTAGTTTAGTTTATTATTTTATTTTTATTCACTGATTTAAAACATTTTACATTATTCTTTTACTTTATTCTTTTAGTTTATTACTTTATTTTATCATTTTTATTTTATTTAGTTTAGGTTCTTATTTTACTTATTTTATTTTATTTAGTTTAGTTTATTATTTTATTTTTATTCACTGATTTAAAACACTTACCTTGTTCTTCATCGTCCAAGCAACTCTGTTGGGCAATCTCTTCATTATTTTATTTCTATCTATTTAAAACATTTATCTAGGGGCCCATCTTCTAAGCAATTCCATTTGGCAGTCAAAAGTCTTTTATCTTTTTATTATTTTATGATTATTTATTTTAAAACATTTATAGAGCAGCCCCCCTTCTAAGCAACTCGGCTGAACAGTCAAAGGGTTTTCTCTTTATTATTTTATTTTTATTTATTTGAAACATTTGCATAGCATTTATTTATGAATATCAGTGGCCCCGTGGTCGTGCCATCCTTCTCTTGCAACCTTCCAACACAAGCAAATTCCATGGGGAAGCCAGATTCACTTAACAACCGTGTTTCTAACTTAACACTTGCCATGATTCATTTAACAACAGTGACAAGAAAGGTCATAAAATAGAGCAAAACCCACTTGACAACTGTCTTACTTAGCTGAGCAATAGAAATTTTAGGCTCAATTGTGGTATTGTGCCCCCCCCTTCTCAGAGACCACCAAGGACCCCACAGTTGTCCTCCTCATCTCTACAAATCCCACTTCCTTACAGCACTGATGATGTTACCTAGTTGGGTCATGAAACGTCTGCAAGAAAACAACCAGGCTCATAGAGCATCAAGGACTCTGCAGCCTTCCTCCTCTTCCCCCCTCCTCTTCCTCTCTGCAATCCCTACTCTCTTCTAAAACTGATAGCGTTACCTAGTTGGGTCATAAAACATCTGCAAAAAGCCAACTAGGTCCGTGATGGCAAACCTATGACACGCGTGTCACAGCTGGCACGCAGAGCCTTCCCTGTGGGTATGCGAGCCGTTGCCCAGCTCAGCTCCCCTGCGAACGCACGCCTCCCGCAGGCCAGCTGATATTCGGGATGCGCAGGTGGCGGGGCACATGCGGGAGAAGCGCAGGCATGCGAGGGGGGAGCGTGGGGTTAGGGTTAGGTGTGGCGTGCCCCCATGGCCTGTCTTTGGGCACAAGAGGCTCCCAGGAGACTCCACACGGCCCATTTTGGATGCCAGGTACATGCAGGGCCCGTGCGGAATCTGGGGAGGGTGAAAAACGGGCCTCCCGGAAGTTCCTGAAGTCTGGAAACAGGCCCATTTCTGGCCTCTGGAGGGCTCCGGAGCCCAGGGGAGGCCGTTTTCGCCCTCCCGGAGGCTCAAGGAAAACCTCTGGAGCCGGGGGGGTGGCGAAAACATCCCTCCCGCCGTAGTGCAGGAGGCCAAGTAGGCCACACCCACCAATGGCCACACCCACCCAGCAATGCGTGGGAGGGCGTGAGGGGTGTGCGCATGCGTCGGGGGGGTGCACGCATTGCATTATGGGTGCTTTTGGCACACAAAGAGAAAAAGGTTAGCCATCCCTGAACCAGGTTCTTAGAGCACCAAGGACCCCGCAGCCTTCCTCCTCTTCTCCGCCTCCCTGCAAGCCTGATGATGTTACCTAGTTGGGTCATGAAACGTCTGTAAGAAAACAAGCAATTTGATTGGAAAAAAAAAATTGAAAACCAGGTTACAGCAAACCTGGGAAAAGTGCGGAAGGCTTTTCATTCCGCCAATCTGGTGGTTGTAGATAAACAGTGTTTTTCCAGTGTTCCAAATCAGCTGTTTACACCTTCGGTTCGGCTTCCCAAGAATTATTCATGGAATGCAAAAGGGGATTAAACTAAGCGTGCGGCACCTGTGAGCGTGATATGCCAAAATCTGCAAGGGGGCAGGGGTGTGGTGGGTTCGCTACCTCACAATTTTGTGCTCACGCATGTGACTTCTCGTGCTGCTAAATATTTCTAAAATCGACACTCAAGAATTATCGAATCAGATTCACATCCTTCAACCTTTGGGGGAAGCCATGAAGACGGTACAGTATTCGCATATACAGCGCAGGGGTGAGATTCAGTCGGTTCGGGCGAATCGGTAGCTCCGACGATCAGCTGAGAGTGAACTGGTTCGCTCCGACAATCAGCCGGGTCTGCCCACACGCCCCTGCGCTATACCGACCTATATTTCCTTTGTTTGAAGCCCAGCTGATTGGTGCAGGCCTCAGCTGTTTTACTCCCCGGGGCTGCAGTAGGTAAGTTTTAGAGCTGTTTCCAGACACACTGTGCGCGCGCAGAGTGCCCGCTCAGCGACCAGTTGTTATACCGGTTGAATCCCACCACTGATACAGCGTATTATATAGGTAGTCCTTGGCTTACAACTGTTGGGAGAAATATCCACCCGGTTCAGTTCCAATCCGGAAGAATTGGAAAACAAAATGGAGGCTGATTGGAAAAGATGGTTTAATGACGAAGTAGAACCATATGGGTTTGTGGTTCTGGGCAGCTGACCACATGGAGTTGAGAGTTGAGGGGTTTGATACCTTCCCTTGGGCTTCGCACTTGAGCTTCCTGTTCCTGTGCAAGATGTAGTATTCTATTGGCTTTTGTCAGACTCCCATGGGGTCATGTAAGGGTCATAGCTGGCTCTATAGGCAAAGTACAAATCCTAGGTGTGTGTCTGAGCTAAGTTTGGTTGGAAGTTTCTGAGGGTGAGGCAATACCGTTAGGAGATTGTGCAAATGTAGTGAGCTCTGTGCCTTCTGCTAAACGGTAGTGGGTTAATCCTTTTGTGTCCTGAAGGATCGTGTCCTGTTTTTCTTTATCCCATCATCCTGGGGCTGAAGGTCTTTTGTTTTGTAGATAGGCTGGCCCAGTCTTTCTTAATGAGCACAAAATATCTGCTTCGGGTGGGGGGGGGAGTCTGCTTTCTGTCTTTAAAAAAACGTTTCTCCATTTTTCATTTAGGGAAATATAATATTCTGCCTATTTTTTAATATTCCTCAAAATAGGAGGAGGTGGTGGCAATAAGTTCCTTTAACGACTGTTCGAATTTACAGCACTCAAAAGAGTGACATAACTGGTCCTCGCACATACGACTGTGCAGCATCGGCACAGTCACGTGATCGAAATTTGAACACTTGGAAACTGGCGTGTACTTACAAAGGTTGCAATGTCACCTAATTTCCATTTGCAAACTTCTCAGCCTGCTCAAGGCTGACAAGCAAAGTCCACTGAGGGAAGCCAGATTCATTTAACGTCTGTAGGATTCACTTAACGACTACAGCAATTCACGTGATCAAATTCAGACACCCGGCAACTGGCTCATAGATACGACGGTCGGTCGCAGTGTCCCGAGGGTCATGTGATCCCTTTTTGTGACCTTCTGACAAACCAAGTCAATGAAGGGGAGGGAAGCCAGATTCACTTAACAACCGTGTTACTAACTTAACAACGGCAGCGATCCATTTAACGACTTCGGCAAGAAAGGTCGTAAAATGGGGCGAAACTCAACACTTAACCGCTGCCTCGCTTAGCAACAGAAATTTTGGGCTTCGTTGCGGTTGTACATCGAGGACTACCTATCCTGGAGTACCTGCTAATAATTGCGCCCAAAAAAAAAAGTTTCCAAAGTCAGGCATGTCTCACTTAACGACCGTCTCACTTCACAACTGACATTGTGGTCGTAAGTCGAGGACTAGTTATACATTAGCACCTGAGGATGCCACGTTGGAACCACCAATCTGCAAAATGTTTTTTTTTTTTTTTTAAAGAGATTTCAGGTTCGTAAGCTTTAACCAACTTGACGAACAATAAATAAATAAAGACACATAAAACGATAGTGGAATACAAAATTTATGTCTGAAGTTGTAGTCAGGGCTGCCTTCAGCGGTGACCACGTTGTAGCAAAACATTTGGTATCAAACATTTAACAAGTTCTGTTGCATGACAACCACCCACTGGCATGCGATAATAAGGTATTTCGTTTAAATAGGCCTGTTATTTATATATTTATATGCTGTATAAGGATATAATCTATGTATAGGTCAGTTTATACAGAGTTTTTCGGGTGGGGAAACAAAAGGGTTTGATACAAAATGAAAGCGTCCACCACAGATCACGGGGAGAGGAGTAAAAACCCAGCCGGAGGAGAGGGGATTTACACAACGTGCAAACGAGGGACGTGAAGAAGGAGGCATCGCCCTGCCGGATCGAAATGGATCGGTTCCTACTTCCAAGCAGAAATAACGGGTTTTCTTTGTTCCTGTGCAAAGTTTAAAATGTCGATTCTACGTCGGGAAAAATTCAGAATGGGAAACTTTTTGCTCTCAAGCATTGAAATAGGATTCGGAGATTGTGTTTCTCAACTTCTGTCAGCGTTAAGATGGGCGGACTTCAACTCCCAGAATTCCCCAGCTAACATGCTTTAAAATGGCTGAACTTCAATTCCCAGAATTCCCCAGCCAGCATATTTTAACATGGGAGGACTTCCACTCCCAGAATTCCTCAGCTAACATGCTTTAAAATGGCTGGACTTCAACTCCCAGAATTCCCCAGCCAGCATATTTTAACATGGGTGGACTTCTAGAATTCCTCAGCCAGCATATTTTAACATGGGAGGACTTTCACTCCCAGAATTCCTCAGCTAACATGCTTTAAAATGGCTGAACTTCAACTCCCAGAATTCCTCAGCCAGCATATTTTAACATGGGTGGACTTTCACTCCCAGAATTCCTCAGCCAACATGCTTTAAAATTGCTGAACTTCAACTCCCAGAATTCCCCAGCCAGCATATTTCAACATGGGAGGACTTCCACTCCCAGAATTCCTCAGCTAACATGCTTTAAAATGGCTGAACTTCAACTCCCAGAATTCCTCAGCCAACATGCTTTAAAATGGCTGAACTTCAACTCCCAGAATTTCCCAGCCAGCATATTTTAACATGGGAGGACTTCCACTCCCAGAATTCCTCAGCTAACATGCTTTAAAACGGCTGAACTTCAACTCCCAGAATTCCTCAGCCAACATGCTTTAAAATGGCTGAACTTCAACTCCCAGAATTCCCCAGCCAGCATATTTTAACATGGGAGGACTTCCACTCCCAGAATTCCTCAGCTAACATGCTTTAAAATGGCTGAACTTCAACTCCCAGAATTTCCCAGCCAGCATATTTTAACATGGGAGGACTTCCACTCCCAGAATTCCCCAACTAACATGCTTTAAAATGGCTGAACTTCAACTCCCAGAATTTCCCAGCCAGCATATTTTAACATGGGAGGACTTCCACTCCCAGAATTCCTCAGCCAACATGCTTTAAAATGGCTGAACTTCAACTCCAGAATTCCCCAGCCAGCATATTTTAACATGGGAGGACTTCCACTCCCAGAATTCCTCAGCTAACATGCTTTAAAATGGCTGAACTTCAACTCCCAGAATTCCCCAGCCAGCATATTTTAACATGGGAGGACTTCAACTCCCAGAATTCCCCCGCCAGCCATGTTTTAAGATGGCGAATGTTTATGGAGATTTGCAATCCTGGCTGCCCCGAAAAGAGCTTCATTCCACAAGGCAACTGGGCTTTCGTTGTTTGACCTTGAAGACATTTCACTTCTCATCCAAGGAGCTTCTTCGGTTCTTAAGAAGTTTTTTGGGATGAGAAGCGAAATGTTTTCAAGGACAAAAAACCAAGGATGTCCAGTTGCCTTTCGGAAAAGCCTGTTTGGATTACGATGGGTGGACTTCAGCTCCCAGAATTCCCCAGCTAGCCTGTTTTAAGATGGGTGGACTTCAACTCCCAGAATTCTCCAGTCAGAATTCCCAGAATTTCCTGACAGTAAGATTCAGAGGTGGACGGCACATGAATTAACAACCGGTTTGCCCCAGCACTGAAAATGCGCGCACCTGCCTTTGCGCATATGCTTTACTCTTGCGCACACACGCATGCATGCAGCTTAAAAAATGCGGCTAAATAGGATGACAGGTCACAACTACCACCTGAACCGGCAGCAGCCCATCACAGGTAGGAACAATTAATCAGTGGAACTACTTGCCTCCAGAAGTTGTGAATGCTCCAACACTGGAAGTGTTTAAGAAGAGATTGGGACAACTATTTAAAATGGTACAGGGTTTCCTGCCTGAGCAGGGGGTTGGACTAGAAGACCTCCAAGGTCCCTTCCAACTCTGTTATTCTATTCCAGTGGTGGCAAACCTTTTATTCACCGTGTGCCGAACAGGTATGTGCTTCGCGAGCACCCGTGCTATCCGTGCTAACGCGCAGATCCTTCCCTGTGCGTTGTGTGCACAACCGCACCATCTGCTCATGCTCACAGTTTCCATGCGTGCAATGCACCCGTGCGAACATCATCTATGCATGCATGCGTTGCAGGAAGGACTTACGCATATGTGCAAATGTGCACGAGTGCGCAGGAGAGCTCCGAAGACCAGCTGGGTCCCCTGAATTGCGCGCATGTGCACCGGAAGTCCGAACACCAGCTGGGGCCCATGCACATGCACAGCTGCAGGTGAGTTAGGTGACAGCTCCAGTGCCCGGAAAGATGGCTCTGCGTGCCACTTCGGGCACGCGTGCCATAGGTTCGCCATCACGGTTCTAGTCTAACTCCCCAAATTCCGTAGATCAGTGATGGCTAACCTTTTTGCCGTCGCGTGCCAAAAGCGGGGAGAGCCTGGGGGGGTCGTGCATGCGCATGCCCCCACCCAGAATTCAATGTGCCCCACCCCCTGTGCATGCATGTGTGACTCCCCTGTGCTCCTCCCACTTTTGATAAGTGATGGCCCGGTAGGCTTGTTTTTTCACCCTCCCCAGGATCCAGAGCCTTTCTTGGAGCCTGGGGAGGGCAAAAACGGCTTTCCCCACACACCCCCGGAAGCCGGAAATGGCCCGTTTCCCGACTTCCGGTGGGCCCAGAAGGCCCGAAAATCAGCTGGCTAGTGCGCGCATGCACACTGGAGCTGAGCCAGGGCAAAGCTCGGGTGCCCACAGATATGTCTCTTATCACGGCCCGAGATAGTATGCTTAACTGTCTCGTTTAGCAACCAAAATATGGGGTTCCGTTGTGGTCGTAAGCCGAGGACTGCCGTATTTTGAACGGATGAGAAATTTTGAGCTGCTCTTTTTAGAATTTTGCATTGTTTTTTTTTTGGTAAATTAGAGGTAAAGCCGAAGAAACACAAAAACGCTATTCGGGGGTGTACAATGAGTAATTAGTTACACAGCCCTTTGTGGTTTTGTACAGATTGTCTGGAAGGGCAGCTAAAACACTAGGGACGCCATAAGTACAGCAAACTTTCATTGCACAACCAGACACACATGTATACATGCGCACATACACATACACGCAGCAGGCACGCAAACCAAGAACTAAAATCACCGTAAACGTTAAACGCAGGAAAAGGCCCTGCTCCAAATTATCCACCCGCCAAAAATGCAATCCAGAGCATTTTCTAGTAGAGTAGGAATATCCAACATTAGCAACATTAAGATCTGTGGACTTCAGTTCCCAGAATTCCCCAGCCAGCCATTTATGGCTGGCTGGGGAATTCTGGGAGTTGAAGTCCACAGGTCTTAAAAGCTGCCAAAATTGGACATCTCTGTTTTAGAGACTTAGTAAACCTGTTGAAACGTATTTAGAGGCTGACTTTTCAAGCCTGAAATTCAGAATATTCATATAAATCACCACTGTAATACATGCAGGGTAACTTTTCCCCAAACGCACACACTCTTGTCACACGTACACACAAACACACACGGGGTTCAAGGCATCCCAGAAAAAAAAAAAAAAAAACCCTCTAGCACGGATTTGCCAAACGACCAAGAAACCAAACCACTTCGGATTGGAGTCGCCGGAAAATGAGCCATGCCCCTTGCCCAGCCCGTTTCTCCCCTCCGCGCCCGGGAGGCCCTAAATGAATCGTGTGCGGTCAAGCAACCCACAATCCGCAGCCAGCGGTCTCTTCTGACGTTTGTCGATCCCGGGTTCGAGATCTTGACAGTCAGTCGCTAAGAAGAGCTCCCGGTAATTCGTTGGTAAGCGTGTGCCACCGTTCGATTTTCTTATCCTTGTTTTTTAAGCAGTCAAACCAGTGCTTCAGACGATCCCCTTTGGCGTTGATGCCCAGAACTACGCCACCTGAATGCACAAAGGGATGGAACAGAAGGAAACAAGTAACCAGGATAATCAAGGAAAGTCAGTTTGGTCTAGTGGTTAAGGCACCAGGCTAGAAACCAGGAGACGGTGAGTTCTAGTCCCGCCTTAGCTATAAATGCCAGTTGGAAGACTTTGGGCCAATCACCAGGAGACGGTGAGTTCTAGTCCCGTTTTAGGCATGAAAACCAGTTGGATGACTTTGGGCCCCTAACCAGGAGACGGTGAGTTCTAGTCCCGTCTTAGGCATGAAAGCCAGTTGGAAGACTTTGGGCAAATCACCAGGAGACGGTGAGTTCTAGTCCCGTTTTAGGCATGAAAGCCAGTTGGATGACTATGGGCAAATCACCAGGAGACAGTGAGTTCTAGTCCCGTTTTAGGCATGAAAACCAGTTGGATGACTTTGGGCCCCTAACCAGGAGACGGTGAGTTCTAGTCCCGTCTTAGGCATGAAAGCCAGTTGGAAGACTTTGGGCAAATCACCAGGAGACAGTGAGTTCTAGTCCCGTTTTAGGCATGAAAGCCAGTTGGATGACTATGGGCAAATCACCAGGAGACAGTGAGTTCTAGTCCCGTTTTAGGCATGAAAACCAGTTGGATGACTTTGGGCCCGTAACCAGGAGACTGTGAGTTCTAGTCCCGTCTTAGGCATGAAAGCCAGTTGGATGACTTTGGGCTCCTAACCAGGAGACGGTGAGTTCTAACTCCGTTTTAGGCATGAAAACCAGTTGGATGATTTTGGGCCCGTAACCAGGAGACGGTGAGTTCTAGTCCTGCCTTAGGCATGAAAGCCAGTTGGATGACTTTGGGCCAGTCCCTCTCTTTCTCTCAGCCTAACCCACCTCACAGGGTGGTTGTGGGACAATAGGAGGAGGGAAGGTGTACTGGATATGTTTTGTTGCCTTCAGTTATTTGTAAAAATATTAAAGGTAGGATATAAACAAGTAAATAAATAAATAAAATGAGAGTTCCACAATCTCGTAGGATCATACATGTCTTAATAGATGCCGGCTGGGGGATTCTGGGAGCGGAAGTCCACCAACCTTAAAGCTGCCAAGATTGGGAAACTCTGGCCTAACTGAATCATAATTGATATTGGGTGGATTTAAGAAGGGATTTGAAACATGGCTGAGTGTGTAATGATGATGGAATCAGTGTCAATGAGAATTTGTTCGATTCACTGCAAAATAACGCTGTGAGAACCCAGAGTTCCAATCCTGGGCCACCTCCCATCCAATACCCAGATTTACCAATAAAATCGTTGGATTTGCCAATGTCATAGTCCCAGACTGTCACCTCCAAGGTCTTCTTGGTCAAATCGCCATGCTTTATCTCATACAAAAATTCCTGCAAAAAAGGAATTTAGAAAGGAGGAAAATTATTCAGTTCATCATTGAATAGTAAACCTGTACTAGAAATGAGCAAGTCTCTGGTGAACAATGAACAATGATGCTTTTTAAACAATGATGTGAGCTTTGGTCATGCACAACCAGAATGCAGAACTGAGTTGGCAGGGACCTCGAAGGTCTTCTAGTCAAACGCCCTGCTCAAGCAGGAGACCATTCCAGACAAAGCCTCCAGGGATGGAGCAGCCACAGCTTCTAGAGGCAAGTTGTCCCACTGACTAATTCTTCTAACTGTCAGGAAATCGTTGTGTCTTCCCTTTCTTTTATGGTATCTTGAGAGATGAGAGATGGGAGAGGGATAGAAATGTAGATGATAGATAGTAGACAGATGGAGAGATGAGGATGGAGAGAGATGTGGATGGAGAGATGGATAGAGTGATGGGTGGGTAGATTAGATAGATAGATAGATAGATAGATAGATAGATAGATAGAAAGGAAGGAGGATGGATGGATGGATGGATGGATGGATAGATAGATAAAGATAGATAGAAAGAAAGAAGGAAGGATGGATGGATAGATAGAAAGATAGACAGAAAAAGAAGAAAGGATGGATGGAAAGAAAGAAAGATGGATAGATAGAAAGATAGATAGAAAGAAGGAAGGATGGATGGATAGAAAGGTAGGTAGGTAGGTGGATAGGTAGGTAGGTAGGTAGATAGGTAGAAGAATGGATGGATGAATGGATAGATAGAAAGATAGATTATAGATAGATAGATAGATAGATAGATAGATAGATAGATAGATAGATAGAAGGATGGATGAATGGATAGATAGAAAGATAGATAGATGATAGATAGAAAGATAGAAAGAAAGAAGGAAGGATGGATGGATGGAAAGAAAGATGGATAGATAGGTAGATAGATAGATAGAAAGATAGAAAGAAAGAAGGAAGGATGGATGGATAGAAAGATGGATATATAGATAGGTAGGTAGGTAGGTAGATAGATAGATGGAAAGAAAGAAAGATGGATAGATAGAAAGATAGATAGAAAGAAGGAAGGATGGATGGATAGAAAGGTAGGTAGGTAGGTAGGTAGGTAGATGGGTAGAAGAATGGATGGATGAATGGATAGATAGAAAGATAGATTATAGATAGATAGATAGATAGATAGAAAGAAGGATGGATGGATGGATGGATAGATAGAAAGATAGATAGATAGATGATAGATAGATAGAAAGATAGAAAGAGAAGGAAGGATGGATGGATGGATGGATGGATGGATGGAAAGAAAGATGGATGGATAGATAGGTAGATAGAAAGATAGAAAGAAAGAGAAAGAAGGAAGGATGGATGGATAGAAAGATAGATATATATATATATAGGTAGGTAGGTAGATAGAAAGAAGGATGGATAGATAGATAGATAGATAGATAGATAGAAAGAAGGAAGGATGGATAGATAGATAGATAGATAGATAGATAGATAGATAGATAGATAGATAGATAGATAGATATACCCTGTTTTCCCCAAAATAAGACATTCCCTGATAATAAGCCCAATCGGGCTTTTGAGTGCATGGCAATAAGGCCAAGTGCTTATTTCAGGGCTCAAAAAAAAAAATAAGACAGGGTCTTATTTTCGGGGAAACACGGTAATACAAAGGCTAAGTAGTACAGATAGTCCTCAACTTACAACAGTTCATTTAGTGACCGTTTGACGTTATAACAGCACTGAAAAAAAGTGACTTATGACCGTTTTTCACACTTACGACCATTGCAGCATCCCCCATGGTCACATGATCAAAATTCGGACACTTGGCAGTTGACTCGTATTTGTGACCGTTGGAGTATCCCAGGGTCATGGGATCCCTTTTTGGGACCTCCTGACAAGGAAAGTCAATGGGAAAGCCAGATTCACTTAACAACCGTGTTACTAACTTAACAACTGAAGTGATTTACTCATCAACTGTAGCAAGAAAGGTTGCAAAATGGAGAAAAACCCACTTTAGAACTGTCTCGCATAGCAACAGAAATTTTGGGCTCAATTGTGGTCGTAAGCCTAGGACTCTACATTTTATTTAAGTCCATTTTTGCTATAAGCTGCTGTGGCCTAGAGGTGGAGCTCTTCCCTCACAATCAGGAGGTTGTGAGTTCAATCCTAGGTAGAGGCAGGAGGTTGGACTAACTGCTCTGTTAATTTGTAAACTGTTGTAATTTTATGCAATAGTAGCTGTAGTATTCAGCCAGTAGATGGCAGTGTTTACAACTTTGGATCTATGGGATATATACTCTATATCCGTGATGGCGAACTTATGGCACATGTGCCACAGGTGGCACGCGGAGCCATATCTGTGGGCATGCGAGCGTTGCCCTAGTTCAGCTCCAGCTGCCCACCAGAAGTTGGGAAATGGGCTGTTTCCGGCCTCTGGAGGGCCTCTGGGAAGGTGGGGAAGACTGTTTTTGCCCTCCCCAGGCTCCTAGAAAGCCTCTGGAGCCTGGAGAGAGCAAAAAACAGGTCTTCCAGTCCTACCAGAAGTTGGGAAACAGGGCATTTCTTGCCTCCAGAGGGCCTCTTGTGGGGGAAAGGCTGTTTTCGCCCTCCACAGGTTCTTAGAAAGTCTCTGGAGCCTGGGGAGGGCGAAAAATGGGTCTACCTGGCCCATCGTGCCATTGCGTGCCACAAACGGGAGGAGCGCGGGGGGCGCATTGAATTATGGGTGTGGGCACATGCACGTGACCCCCCACACAACCCCCACTTCTGGCACGCGACAGCAAGAAGGTTAACCATCACTGCTCTATATTCTTTTGTACTAAGTAGACTTGTTTCCTTTTACAGTTGAGCAGTTAAGCAGTAAAGCACATGGTGACTGTACTCTTTGTTTGGTCTGCGGTGCTACATATGAAACAGAATTTCTAACAAAAACATCGGGTGGTTTGGGGATGCAAGAGTCCAAGCCAGTGGTGGCTTGTCCCAGGTTCGGACCGGTTTGCAAGAACTGGTACTAAAACCAGTGGGAGGCTCCGCCCACCGCCCCGGATGTCGTCATAGGCAATCTGCGCATGTGCGATCCCGTTGCGAACTGGTAGTAAAGGTAAGTAGAACCCACCCCTGATCCAAGCATGGTTAACTCAAAGGTCCTCATTAATAAACACAAACTAAATTTGTTGGAAAATAGTTTAGCCACACTTGACAATTTAAAAGCAACACTCCCTTCCAGGAACATCTTGAAGTAAAAATATTGTAGCTCATTTGAGGATTGTTGCCCAATTGTGGTAACTTTTAAGCATCCTTAGCCATGAAACTCGCAATGGCGTCTACTGGTGTGTGTTTGTGTCTTTGTGTCCTATCTTCTTGCCTGCTTGTGCGCATGCTCTCGTTTCCAGGGCGCCTAGTATTTTGATTTCTGGCGCGCATATGCGTGCGAAAACCAGCTGGCTGGTGTGAATGCGCACGCAGAGATGTTCTTCTGATTTCCAGCTTGTACATGCTCACCCGCCAGCTGGTCTGCACAAACACACACGCACCAGAAACTGGAAAATGATTTTCCCGGCGCACACACCAGGGGTGGGTTCTAAATTTTTTTTACTACCAGTTCTGTGGGTGTGGCTTATTTTGTGGGCGTGGCTTGGTGGGGGGGAGTAATGTGACTGGGTGGACGTGGCCAACTAAAAGCATTTTTTCTACAACCTTAAGAGATTGCAGGAAAAAATGCTTTTAAAAGCCTCTGACGATCCCAGCTGAGCCGCGCGATCATCGGAGGCTTTTTTTTTTTTTTTTTACTTTTAAAAACATTGTTTCGGCCGAAGAGGTTGTAGAAAAAATGCTTTTAAAAGTTAAAAAAAAAAAAAGACTCTGATGAGGTGATCGGGGTAAGCGAGCAACGCCCGGGCCAGGGACCGGTTCGGGGGCGTAGCTAGCCAATGTTATCACCGGTTCTTCGAACTACTACAAATTTTTACTATCGGTTCTTGCGAACCGGTGCGAACCGGGAGCAAACCACCACTGGCATGCAACCAGCTGCTCTTCATTCATGCATGCACGCTAGAAACCAGAAGACCAGGCGCACGCCAAGTAGCTACTGTTCCGGTTTCCGGCACACGCACGCACGTGCGCTTCTGTTTCGGCACTCGGTGCCGAAAAGGTTCACCAACACTGTCCTAGCCTGCTTGGACAACCCCCCCCCCCTCACGACCTGACACTTCTGATGCGTTCACGCTTAACTGCGTCTCAAACATACGTCCACAGGGTTTTTTTAAAAAAAAAAACGAAACACGGATCTGTGGAATCTAATCTGTTGCCATTGAGATTTGTTTAAACTCTGCACGACGTGGGTGCGGTTTTTTTTTTTTTTTATAATATTTTCCAATTTGCCAGTGTGATAGCAATGCCAGGTTGCTTCAGACAGGCGTCCTTCGCACGGATTTTTTTATACAGAACATTTTAATCATCCCTTTCGCGGGTGTTTGTCTTTTCGCAGCTCCTTTTTTCCCGCCCCGCACCCCCGAATAGGCGCTGTTTCAATTAGCAAGCGACACTGCAAAATTCGGAGGTCTGCATTTTGGAAAATCAGCTTTGCTTCACCTGTGATTGGCTTGAAAGTGTGAAATGAGATTAGCCTGCATTTAAATGTGAACGAAACCAATTTTTTTCCCCCCCACCCAGGTTTGAGGTTCTGGATGGTACAAATCTGAGCAAGGAGGCTATTCCAGGCAAAAGTCTTGTTTCTTTGCAAAAATTGATTTTGAGAGGGGCTGGATCCAGATTTCAATATTTATGCCTGAGCTTCAATTAGGAACCGTGCCTGGTGTTCAAATGATTTTGAGTTAAAAAGGGAAGGCATCTAAGAGAATACCCAGGTCCCCAAACACGACAAATCCTCTGAAGTGAACTCAAAAGATTCCTTTAATTAGGAGCGCCGGCAGCCCCGGCAAAAAGTTTCTCTCTCACCGCAGGCTAACAAGTCCCTCTGGCCGGAAGATGAATATAGTCTGCCACATCTATTCATCTCTGCCCCCTGCCTCTCCAGAGCTAGGATGGGGCTTCGCTAGCAGCGATGGCTCTTCCGTCCCGAGGACCGGCCCATAGATTTCCACTGCTCTCCTCTCCTCTGCCTTCTGTGCATCCGAGCGTCAGGCACTGGACCCAGCTGTTCCTCCTCCTCCTCATCAGCCACCTCCAGACCTGGGGGCTGTTGACTCTCCATCTGAGGGCTGACTGACAGCTCAGGCTCCGTCTCTGTCTCTGTCTCTCTCTCTCTCTCTGCCAGCTCCCTTCCCTCTTCCTCCTCGGAGCTCTCAGGTTGCCTTGATACTGGTCCTGACTCCCATGCCGCCTCCTCATCTGATTCAGGTGTTTTTGTTTTTTTTTAATTTGATTTATATGCCGCCCTTCTCCGGAGACTCAGGGCGGCTTACAATGCGTTAAGCAATAGCCTACATCCTTTTGTATATTTATACAAAGTCAGCTTATTGCCCCCACAAACTGGGTCCTCAGGTGTTGGCGGGGCCAGCGGCCCACAGGCCACAATAATAATAATAATAATAATAAATAATAATAATAATAATAATTTTATTTCTATACCGCCCTTCTCCCGAAGGACTCAGGGCGGTGTACAGCCTGATTAAAAACACAAAGACAGACAAAATTTAAAAATAATTAAAATTATTAAATAATTGGCTCAATTATAAAACCTCCAAATTTAAAATCCCACATTTAAAACCAATTAAAATCTTTACATTGATAGCCCGGCCTGGCGGAACAAGGTTTTGAGGGCACAGCGAAATACACGGAGGTCGGAGATCTTACGCATTTCCGGGGGCAGTTCATTCCACAGGGCTGGGGCTCCCACAGAGAAGGCCCTCCCCCTGGGTGTCGCCAGCCGACATAACTTGGCCGATGGCACCCTGAGGAGACCCTCTCTGTGGGAGCGAACTGGCCGGTGGGAGGCTACTGGTGGCAGAAGACGGTCTCGAAGGTACCCGGGTCCAATTCCATGGAGCGCTTTAAAGGTGGTAACCAACACCTTGAATCGCACCCGGAAGACCACTGGGAGCCAGTGCAGCTTGCGCAGGAGGGGTGTCACGTGGGCACAATGAGTTGCGCCCATAACCACCCACGCGGCCGCAGTTACAAGTTACAACAATCTGTAACTTCGGGTTGAATGGTTGGTACTCTGTGAATTTGATGGCTTTTTTGCAGACGTTTCATGACCAAGCTAGGTAACAGCATCAGTGTGAGGAAGAGTGAAATCCTCTGGGTGTTTATATATAGTTATCCCAGCCAGTCTTCCTTGATTGGAGTATTTTTTGTCTTTCTTGATTGCACATCTGGTGTTGTTGTCTACAGGTAGTCGTCAATTTATGACTGGAATTTCAGCTATTAAGCAATATGGTCGTTAAGCGAGCCATCACGAGAGCTGACTTGCTTTTTTTGACTATTTCTACTGCGGTCATTAAGCATGTCCCCTGATCGTTAGGGGAACCACGAGGTCATTAAGCAAATCCTGCTTCTTCAATTGCCTTTTTTTTGTTTGTTTGTTTGGCAGAAGCCAGCAGGGAAAGTCGCAAATCGCAGTTGCGTGACCGCAAAAACACCACAACCGCTGTAAATTTGATTTACGTTGATTTGATGTGTTGGTGTTGGTCCTGCCATCGGGGTGGGGGTGGGGTGGGTTATTTTATGGGGTTTTGTTATCTGGTGGATTTTTTTTTTAAAATGTTGTAAATCGGCTGGAGGCAGCTAGATATGAGTTGGGCAGATATACAAATTTGTTTAATAAATAAATAATACAAATAATTAACTGTAAGCAGTTGCCAAGTGTCCCAATAGCAATGATGTGATTGGGGTGGGCGGGAGTGATTAGGTGCAACTATTGTAACTTGAAGGAGGGGTTGTAAGTCAGTTTTTTCATAACCATTGTCATTTCAAGCTGTCAGTAAACGAATGGTTATAAATCCAGGGCTACCCGTAGATATTTTATTTTATTTTATTTTATTATTTTATTTATTTTATTTATTATTTTATTTTATTTTATTTTATTATTTTATTTTATTTATTTTATTTATTATTCTATTCTATTCTATTCTATTCTATTCTATTCTTTATTTTATTTTATTTATTTTATTTTATTTTATTTTATTTATTTTATTTTATTTTATTTATTTTATTTTATTTTATTTTATTTTATTTTATTTTATTTTATTATTTTATTTTATTATTTATTTTATTTTATTTTATTATTTTATTTTATTATTTATTTTATTTTATTTTATTTTATTTTATTATTTTATTTTATTTTATCTTTTATTTTATCTTTTATTTTAAAGGCGGGACTAGAACCCACAGTCTCCTGGTGATTGGCCCAAAGTCACCCAGCTCGCTTTCATGCCTAAGGCGGGACTAGAACCCACAGTTTCCTGGTGATTGGCCCAAAGTCACCCAGCTGCCTTTCATGCCTAAGGCGGGACTAGAACCAGGGCTGAAATGCTACCGGTTCGCACTGGTTTGGGTGAACTGGTAGCGGCTGTGGTGGGTGGTTTGGAGAACTGGTAGCGGTGGCAGCGCGAGGCTCCGCCCACCCGCCCGTACGTCGTTACTTCCTGGTTTTAACCAGGAAGTAACCTGTTTCTTTACCCTCTGCACATGCGCAGAAGGCTTTGCACATGCGCAGAGGGTCCAAAATCACACATGATGCGCTCACGTGTGGCGCACGCACTTCCAAACCGGTAGGGAAGGTAAGTAGATTTCACCCCTGACTAGAACCCACAGTCTCCTCGTGATTGGCCCAAAGTCACCCAGCTGGCTTTCATGCCTATGGTGGGAAGTCACTGTCTCCTGCTTTCTTGCCTGCTGCTTTAACCACTAGACCAAACTCTCACTTGTTTTGGGACCACTTTGATGGTCCCAAAACTATCAGCAAAGACACATCGATAAGGCTACCTCCTCCCGGACTTATGGCTGATCACGAAATATCTACCAAAAACCCACATCTAAGCTCAAAGAACATCAGGCACCACATTTTAATCCTGGAGCCATCAAGAAGTCTACGAGGTGAATCATTTTTGCCCTGGTGGTCTGGGAAGATATTACCCTACAAGGTAGAACCACAGCCAAAATAAACAGTGGAACAACTTGCCTCCAGAACCTGTGGGTGATCCAACTCTGGAGGTTTTTAAGAAAAGATTAGACAGCCATTTTTTGCCATCACGTGCCAGGAGAGGGGTGGGTGGGGGGTGTCGCGCATGCGCCCCGCCCGTACACATGCGTGTGTGACACACACACCCACTCCTCCTCCCCCCCACCGCTCCTGGCACAAGATGGCACGTTTTTCTCTCCCCAGGCTCCAGAGCCTTTCTAGGAGCCTGGAGTGGGCGAAAATGGCCTCCCCCCCCCCCCCGCAGGCCCTTTGGATGCTGGAAACGGCCTCTGGAGGGCCTCCGGGAGGGCGGGGAAGGCCGTTTTCGCCCTCCCCAGGCTCCTAGAAAGGCTCTGGAGGCTGGGGAAGAGCAAAAAATGGGCCTTCCGGTCCCACCGGAAGTTGGCAAACGGGCCGTTTCCGGCCACCGGAGGGCTTCTGGGTGGGGGGGGAAGGCCGTTTTCACCCTCCCCAAGCATCTAGAAAGGCTCTGGAGCCTGGGGAGTGTTCTGTCCCCGTCCCACACACGCACCCTCACAGACCGCCCGGAGTTAATAAGCCACACGACAAAGTCTTTGAAGATAAAGCTGGCAGCAACCCAGTGGCTAGCTGCCAATTCAGACTTTACTCACACAAAACAAAGATTAGACTGCAAGCATTCCGATAAAGCAGGCAAAGTTTCAGCAATACAAGGATTAGTCCAAATGCAGTCTGACAAGGCAGGCAGAAGTCCAGTAATGCAGAGATCATGGATTATTTCTAGTTTTTGCTCGTCACAAACTGAACCGGCCATCACACCCACATTTATACCCTGTGGGGTGTGGTCCAGTGACTCAGCTAATCTCTGGCACGCCTTCCCCTCTGCTGCGCACGCTTCTCCCTGCACCGCTGTCGAGGATCCAGCCAGCACTTATCTCCTTCGTCGCTGTCCACCTGTGGCTGTGGGGACGTGCTTGGCTCTGGGCCTACCTCTTGGCCTTCGGTGTCCTCCGGAGGCATTGCCAGAGAGGAGGGTCCTGGAGAGGGAGGCCTTGCCAACTCCTCTCCCTCACTCTCAGAGTCTGCATCTGTTGATAGCCCAGGCTCAGGCAACGGAGCCACAACAGGGAGAGAGAGAAACGGGGCTTCCCCATCCCCCACCCCAGAGGCCCTCTGGAGGCAGGAAACAGCCTGTTCTCTACTTTCAGTGGGCCCAGAAGGCCTGAAAATCAGGTGGCCGGTGCGTGCATGCACGCCAGAGCTGATCTCGCGTCAATATGGCTACACGTGCTATCTGTGGCTCGCGTGCCATAAGTTCACCATCATAGATATAGGGCCTCCTGCTTGAGCAGGGGGTTGGACTAGAAGACCTCCAGGGTCCCTTACAACTCTGTAATTCTGTTCTTTTGAATAATGTCCAGGAGAAAATATACAAGAGACTATAAGAATCTTGGAACTTCTAGGGGATGGAGGGAGGAAATATGGGGAAATGTACCAACCGTTAAGTCTCAAACTTTGCCATTTTAAGACGAGTGGACTTCAACTCCCAGAATTCCCCAGCCAACAAGCCGGCAGGGGAATTCTGGGACTTGGAGTCCACTCGTCTTAAAGCGGCCAATGCTCTATTTCTGCTCATTGTTTCAGAGAAAGGCTTGCAGAGATACTTGGAGATATTAAAAATATTTGCTGCTCCACTCTGGTTACCATTTCAAAGAGAGGCTTACGGTTCGATTCAATCCAGCCCAAAATTGACAGAGAAAATATCCTGACAGACGTACCTCATTAAATTCAGGGTTGAGGGTTTTCTTCTTCACGGCCGTCTTATGCTTCGATTTCTTGTCCTCGTCTGGTTTCAAGTAGCTGCAAAGAAAAACATCCAGTTCTGTTACCTGGGCCATAACTCAGGGTTCAGATCATAACAGGATAACAGAGACGGAAGGGACCTTAGAGGTCTTCTAGTCCAACCCCCTGCTCAAACAGGAGACTTTACACCATTCCAGACAGGTGGCTGCCCAGTCTTTTCTCCAGTGATGAAGCACCCACAACTTCTAGTGGCAAGCAGTTCCACTGGTTAATTGTCCTTACTGTTAGGAAGTTTCTCCTTAATTCCAAGTTGCTTCTCTGCTTGATGAGTTTCCATCCACTGTTTCTTGTCCTGCCTTCTGGTGCTTTGGAAAATAAGTTGTAAGTTGAGAATTTACGTATAACATCTGAGAGTCCATTGGATTCTTAGAATCAATGTCAGAAGCTGTCTCAAAGTTTCTTCCTCCTGTTTTCAAGTCTGACTCACTTATAAAAGAGCCTTAGTGGCGCAGCAGACTAAAGTGCTGTTAAGTAGCACCAGCTGCCTGCAATTACTGCGAGTTCAAATCTCACCAGGCTCAAGGTTGACTCAGCCTTCCATCCTTCTGAGGTAGGTAAAATGAGGACCCGGATTGTGGGGGGCAATAAGCTGACTTTGTATAAAAAAGAACATCGCTTAGGGGGGGCCCGAAAGCCCTACTAAGCAGGTATATACAAAAGTATGAAGGCTATTGCTTAACGCATTGTAAGCCGCCCTGAGTCTCTGAAGAAGGGCGGCATATAAATCGAACCTATAAATAAATAAACAATAAATAAAATATTGTCATTAACAGAATGTCAGAGTTAGAAGGGATCTTGAAAGGTCTTCTAGTCCAACCCCGTTCAAGCAGGAGACCCTAGACCAGTGATGGCTACCCTTTTTGTTGTCACATGCCGAAAGGTTAGAAATCAGGAGAAGGTGAGTTCTAGTCCTGCTTTAGGCATGAAAGCAGGCTGAATGACTTTGGGCCAATCACCAGGAGACAATGAGTTCTAGTCCCGCCTTAGGCATGAAAGCAGGCTGAATGACTTTGGGCCAATCACCAGGAGACAATGAGTTCTAGTCCCACCTTAGGCATGAAAGCAGGCTGAATGACTTTGGGCCAATCACCAGGAGACAATGAGTTCTAGTCCCGCCTTAGGCATGAAAGCAGGCTGAATGACTTTGGGCCAATCACCAGGTGATAGTGAGTTCTAGTTCCACCTTATTTATGAAAATTGGCTGGGTGATTTTAAGCCAATCACCAGGAGACGGTGAGTTTCAGTCCCACCTTAGGCATGAAAGCCAGCTATGTAACTCTGGACCAATCACCAGGAGGTGGTGAGTTCTAGTCCCACCTTAGGCACGAGAGCCAACTTCTTGACCTTGTATCCCTGTCTCAACCCAATCCATCTCACGGGGTTGTTGTTGGGAAAATAGGAGAGACAAGGATTAAATATGTTCTGTGCCTTGAGTTGATTGCAATAATAAAATAAAATAAAAAATAAAATAAAATAAAATAAAATAAAAATACAATATAAAATACAGTAATAAAATACAATAATAAAAAATAAATAAAAAAATACAATAAAAAAATAAAAAAATAAAATAAAAATACAATACAATATAAAATACAATACAATAATAAAATACAATAATAATAAAAATAAATAATAAAATACAATAATAATAAAAATAAATAATAAAATACAATAATAATAAAAATAAATAATAAAATACAATAAAATACAATAATAAAAAAAATAAAAATACAATACAATATAAAATACAATAATAATAAAAATAAATAATAAAATATAATAATAAAAATAAATAATAAAATACAATAATAAAATAAAATAAAATAAAATATTTGGGATGCTTGGATTCCTGCCCAAACTGAGGGTTGGACTAGATAACCTCGAGGGAACCTCCCCACTCTAGAATTCAACAGAATCCCACACTCTTCCAGGCAAAGTAAAACTGCAGCCTTTAATTGACGCACCGGAGTAAAGCAATTATTTTCTCTGGAGCTTTTAATTAAACAGAAGGAACACACTGTTTTATGGCTGTTTTGGCATTTAATCCTATAGGTCTCTGTGGCTGTTTTATCGTCTCGCTGCTTTATGACCATATTTTATTTATCTCTTTTCCTTTGTCGTCCCCGCGTGGATGTGCGTGTGGGACTTCTGTGTGTGCTAAAAATTACGATCTTGTGGATTGTCTTATAAATCTACCCCGTGCGCTGTAAAGCTTGGAGATTAAAAGTTTTGTGGAATAAATCATGCTCGCCTGGCCGCAAACAGCAAGAGCTGAAAAATTGAGGAGGAAAATGAAATGCTTGGATTTTATCCAAGAGAGCAAGGTTGCGATCGCACATCAAGCTAAGCCGCGTTTAAACCTTGGTTTGTTGAACAAGCAGCAATGCGTTGGATTCACTCGATGGGCAAAAAGATCCAAGACAGGCTGAGGTTCCTCTCCATGTGACCATCCCAAAGCTGCTTTTTTTCCAAGAGGCAACTGGACTTTCTGGTTTTTCTTTGAAGACGTTTTGCTTCTCGTCCAAGAAGCTTCTTCAGTTCTGATTGGATGGTGGGGAATGGAAGGATTTATACTCCTTGCAGACAGCTGGTCATTTGCATCCTTTGAAAGAGACTTTGAGGCCACTTGGAGGTTTATCTGTGTCCTCAGGATCACCTGAGTGGTGCAAAAGGGGGTGGAGCCTTCTTGGAACTGCTGAAAGGACTGTTGTAGACTGGAGATAGATGATGATGTATCCCTCCCCCTCTGTTGAGAGAGGGCCAGAGGTGGGCTGCTGGGGGTTCGCAGGGGTTCGGGAGAACCTCTAGCTAAGATTCTGTGCAGTTTGGAGAACCCCCAAATCCCATTCCTGGCTGGCCCACCCCACCCCTCCCAGGACTCCCCACGTGGACCATTTTGGATGCAGGTAAGTGCAGGGCGCACACGGAGGCTCGGGTAGGGTGAAAAACGGGCCTACCGGAAGTTCGGGAAGGCCGGAAACAGGCCCGTTTCCAGCCTCCGGAGGGCCTCCAGAGCCTGGGGAGGCCGTTTTTGCCCTTCCGGAGGCTCGAAGAAAGCAAAAAGGCCCCACCCCGCTGTGATGCAGGAGGCCGACTAAGCCACGCCCACCATGGCAATACCCACCCACTAACCTGGCAGAGAACCCCTTGCTAAAATTTTTGAAGCCTGCCCCTGGAGAGGGCTGTTCAATTTTGACGATGGCCTCTTTGACCCCTCTTTCAAACCAGCGGTCTTCTCTGTCCAAAATGTGGACTTTGCTGTCTTCAAAAGAGCGGCCTTTTGTCTTTTAAATGCAGACGGAACTGCTGAATCTTGTCCCGATAGGTTTTGTTCTCCTACGCTGCGCCATGGGTTTGTGAAGTGGATGTTTTGTTTCCCCAATGTACCGATCGGCACATGGCTCGCTGCATTGTACTGACCAGCGGTCTGCAAGGAGTATAAATCCTTCCAACTCCCAGAATTCCTCCAATCAGCATGTGGGCTTCAAGTGGGAGTTGGCTGGCTGAGGAATTCTGGGAGTTGAAGTTCACACGTGTTAAAGTGCTCAAATTTGGAGACCCCCCTTGCTGTAAACCGTGCTCACTTACGTTTTCACGTAGGGATCGGAGTAACCGTTCGCGTCCATGGCAGCCAAGTGGGCGCAGCGGACGATGCCGACCAGCAGGCCCTGTTTCTGAGAACTGTATTTCAAGGAAACAAGGATTCGGCCACGCTCCTCCAGCGACTTGTCTTCCATTTTGTCCATCTGTGAACAAAGAAGGAAACAAAATGGCTGAGCCCCAAATTTCTACCTGGAAGTCGAAGGTCCAGGAACAGATTTTGCTCTCAAGAGCAAACCACGAGGTAAAAAAGATGTTGAGATTCTAGAAAGAGTGCAGAGAAGAGCAACAAAGAGGATTAGGGGACTGGAAGCTAAAACATATGAAGAACAGTTGCAGGAACTGGGTTTGTCTAGTAACTAGACAAATTAGACTCTAGTTTAATGAAAAGAAGGACTAGGGGAGACATAATAGCAGTCTTCCAATATCTAAGAGGTTGTTATAAACAAGAGGGAACTGATCTATACTGAAATGTTATAGGGCTGCAATGGCGAACCTATGGCACGCGTGCCACAGGTGGCACGCAGAGCCATATCTGTGGGTATGCGAGTGTTGCCCTAGCTCAGCTCCAGCGCACATGTGCACGCCGGCCAACTAATTTTCAGGCCTTCTGGGCCCACTGGAAGTCAGAAAATGGGCTGTTTCTGGCCTCTAGAGGGCCTCCGGGGAGGTGGGAAAGGCCGTTTTTGTCCTCCCCAGGCTCCTAGAAAGGCTCTGGAGCCTGGGAAGGCATAAAACGGGCCTTCCGGTTCCACCGGAAGTTACGAAATGGGCAGTTTCTGGCCTCTGGAGGGCTTCCAGGGGGGTGGGGAAGGCTGTTTTCGCCCTCCCTAGGCCTACCGTCCCATCGTGTTCCAAAAGTGGGGGGAGCACAGGGGAGGGGTCACACACACGACTGGGGGCCAGGGCACATTGAATTATGGATGTGGGCACGCGCATGTGTGACACACACACCCCCGCACTCCCCCGCTTTTGGCACACGATGGCAAAAAGGTTAGCCATCACTGTTATAGGGTTTCCGGCCTAAGCAGCGGGTTGGACCTCAGGGGTAGGTTCTACTTACCTTTACTACCAGTTCGCATCGTGCCAGCGCAAAGGGGGATCATGTGACCTCGGGAGATTGCAACCGTCATAAATGTGGGCCAATTGCCGAGCATCTGAATTTTGATCATGTGACCGCGGGGATGCTGCAACGGTCATACATGTGGAAAACGGTACTAAGTACTAAATGGTACTAACGGATAGCTGTAAGTAGAGGAGGATCTGTAATGATCTTCCACGTATTATTTCTGGTCCTGCCCTCTGCTGCTATAGAATAGAATAGAATAGAATAGAATAGAATAGAATAGAATAGAATAGAATAGGATCGGATAGGATAGGATAGGATAGGATAGGATAGAATAGGAGTAGAGTAGAGTAGAGTAGAGTAGAGTAGAGTAGAGTAGAGTAGAGTAGAGTAGAACAGAATAGAATACAGTAGGAGTAGAAATAGAGTAGAGTAGAAATAGAGTAGAATAGAGTAGAATAGAATAGAATAGAACAGAATAGAATACAGTAGGAGTAGAGTAGAGTAGAAATAGAGTAGAGTAGAGTAGAAATAGAGTAGAATAGAATACAGTAGAATACAGTAGAGTAGAGTAGAGTAGAGTAGGATAGGATAGGATAGGATAGGATAGGATAGGATAGGATAGGATAGGATAGGATAGGATAGGATAGAATAGGAGTAGAGTAGAGTAGAGTAGAGTAGAGTAGAGTAGAACAGAATAGAATACAGTAGGAGTAGAAATAGAGTAGAGTAGAGTAGAGTAGAGTAGAGTAGAGTAGAGTAGAATAGAATAGAATAGAATAGAATAGAATAGAATAGAAAAACAGGCATTGGAAGGGACCTTGGAGGTCTACTAGTCCAACCCCCTGCTCAGGCAGGAAACCCTACACCATTTCAGACAAGTGGTTATCCAATCTCTTCTTTAAAACTTCCAGTGATGGAGCACCCACAACTTCTGGAGGCAAGTAGTTCCACTGACTAACTGTTCTCACTGTCAGGAAATTCCTCCTCAGTTCCAGGTTGCTTCTCTCCTTGATTAGTTTCCACCCATTGCTTCTTCTCCTGCCTTCAAGTGCTTTGGAGATTAGATGACCTCTAAAGTCACATCCAATTTTTATGGCTCCCTCTGAGCTCAGATGTTCAGGTCTGACCTATCTTAGAAGGCATATCATCCCAGAAAGCCAGAATTTTTCTCCCCATATCTACTTGTGTGGTGCCTTCTTAGCCTTACTCATCCTCCCCACCTCAACCAGTTGTCGCTAACAGATTTAATCTGCTTGCTGGAATAACAACGCACTCGTCCCAACAAGGTGTAGTCAAGATTAAAGCCAACTGAAATCGGAGCTGAACACCTGTTTAAAAGGAATGTCGGATTCAATTAGGATCCTGTCCGCAGGTGATCGCACTGAATAAGATGTAACGGTACGTGGGAATGACGTTGCAAATCCGGGCGTGGAGGTGGGAGCGACAGGTGCTGCATACAGAACAGTCAGGTAAGAAGAGGACATGGCTTGCCAGTCATAAGTCAGTTCTTTGAGTGCTATTGCACCTTAAAATGGTCATTAAATGAACTGTTGTAAGTCGAGAACAAGCTATAAGACAAAAATCAGGATTCTGGTAACATCTTTTCCCACTAAGAGTAGGGAAGGGATTCAACTGGTTCAGACCGGTTCAGGCAAATCGGATGCTAATTTTACATCTGGTTCACCAAACCGGTAGTTGGAAGGACTGGCTGGCCCCACCCCTCTCAGGAGTCTCCACACGGCCCATTTTGGATGTGCGGAGGCTCTGGGGGGGCAAAAAAACGGGCCTACCGGAAGTACCGGAAGTCCAAAAAGGGGCCCGTTTCCGGCCTGCGGAGGGCCTTCGGAGCACGGGGAATGCCATTTTCGCCCTCCCGGAGGCTCAAGAAAAGCCTCCAGAGCTTGGGGAGGGTGAACCCCTCCCCCATGGTGCAGGAGGCCGAGTAGGCCACGCCCCCCATGGCCACACCCACCCAGCAACTGGGCAGAGAACCGGTTGCTAACATTTTTCAACCCCACCCCTGACTAGGAGATTTTATTCAAAAGAAAAAAAAGGCTTTTTCTTCTCACATTTTTACTTTATTCTCAGGAAAAGAGGGAAGGCCCAGCTGTCAGGGGAAAAAAAAAACAGTGAGAGTAATTAGTAGCTCGGCTGGAAAGCAGGATTCTGGACTTTCGTGAGAAAGTAAATCAGAATTCACATCGACTGAATTTCAGCCTCTTGAGGATAGATTTAAAAGCAGAGGTGTCTCTGTCCAGGGGGCTTTTGCAGATGAAATTGGGGTTTTGTAAAAGTGGCCTGCTTAATTTGAATTTGGAAAAGTGGGGCGGGGGCAGAAGAGGCCCCTGGATCAAGGCAAGAAGACACTCATCCTTCCAGCCATCAGCCTGAGCTGAGAGAAAATGCAATCTTCTTACGTTTAAGTCCCACAGAAGGAGTTTCTCTCTATCTCTGTCCTCCCACGCATTTCTCTTTCTCCTGGAATTGCTCATCAAGAACTCTTGAGCGGTTTCCAAGATTTCATTTTCATTTCATTCATTTTTTTCTTTCTTTTCCTTCCTTCCTTTTTCTTTTTCTTTCTTTCTTTCTTTTTCTTTCTTTTTTCTTTTTCTTCCTTCCTTGCTTGCTTTCTCTCTCTCTGTCCTCCTTCCTTCCCTCCCTCCCTTCTTTTCCCTTCTCTCCTCCCTTCCTTCTCTCCTTCCTTTCTTTTTTCTTTCTTTTCTTTCTCTTTTGACTACCCCACCTCTTGTTTTCTCTCTCCTCCTTCCTTCTCTCCCTACCTTTTCCCTTCTCTCCTTCCTTCCTTCTCTCCTTCCTTCCTTCCTTTTTCTTTCTTTCTTTCTTTGACTACCCCACCTATTGCTTTCTCTCTCTCCTCCTTCCTTCTTTCCCTACCTTTCCCCTTCTCTCCTTCCTTCCTTTCTTCTCTCCTTCCTTCCTTCCTTTTTCTTTCTTTCTTTTCTTTCTTTCTTTCTTTTTACTACCCCACCTCTTGCTTTCTCTCTCCCTCCTTCCTTTTCTCCCTTCCTCTTTTCCCTTCTCTCCTTCCTTCCTTTTTCTTTCTTTTTTTCTTTCCTCTGACTACCCCACCTCTTGCTTTCTCTCTCCCTCCTTCCTTTTCTCCCTTCCTCTTTTCCCTTCTCTCCTTCCTTCCTTTTTCTTTCTTTTTTTCTTTCCTTTGACTACCCCACCTCTTGCTTTCTCTCTCTCTCCCTTCTTCCTTCCAATTCTGTTATTCTGCCTTCCTTCCTTCCTCCCTCCCTCCCTCCCTCCCTCTTTTTCCTTTCTCTCCTTCCTTTCGTCCTTCCTTCCCTTTTTCATATCGCCGCCTGACATTTTACTGTCACTCACCGGCAGCTGCTTCTCCAGGCAAATGTTGAATTTCTTAGTCTGGTTGGGCTTCAGTTTCTTGAGAGGAATCCTCGTTTCGCCAATGAACTCGTTGTGACGGAACTTGTCCTCGTCGCAAACCGAGATCCTGAAAGGCACCGAAGAGGAGAGGGGAGATGGATGAGCAAGGCCATCATTTCCCAGTGGAAAGGGTTAGTAACAGCATCAATTCAGCACAAACTCTTCTTCCTAACTCAGCAGGAGGCATGGATTGTGAAGAGCAGGGATGGGCAATCATTCGAGTTGCGAAGTCAAGAGAAGGATGAGCAAGGGGGTGGGACTAGAAGACCTCCAAGGTCCCTGTTATGACCCAGGGGGTCAAGGCAAGGATCCAGGCCTCTAGAGCAGAGTTCTCCAACCTTTCTGAGTAGGCAGCCCAGGAGGAGGGGGCTGTTGTGTCCTAGGCTTACTGAGTCATTACAATGCACAATTAGTCCCAAACAAACCTATTTTATTGTAACAGCTGAGAATTACGTTCATTCCCAGCTGAGTCCCAATTAGTTGCAAAACAAGTCCTTCGGAACCAACCTTTATGTTCTTTGACACCCTGCCAAAGGCCTTACTTGGCAAAGCCCCACAAGTTCAGAAGCAAACAAGAGATGCCAACTGGAAACAGAGTTAGCAATGTTGCTTTCCTGCAAAAGGCCCAAGTGCCTTTGTTTCTCTTTAAAGCCTCATGGGAGGGGCCAATCATCTCCTGGCCTTACTCCTGAGTTGTCCCTTTTGCTTTAGCTACTCTTGCCTTCTGGCAGCTCTGTGCATGCGTGCGCTAGGAAGAGGCTCCTCCTGTTCCTCTGCCTCTCTGCTGTCCGATTCTGGGGGCTCCGGAGTCTGCGCATCACTCCCAGATGGCCCTGGTCCCATCTCTGCCTCCGACACAGAGCCCTCATCCGGGCCTTCCCCAGACTTCCTCTTTGGCCGAAAAAATGCTTTTAAAAGTAAAAAAAAAAAAAAGCCTCTGATGATCGCATGGCTCAGCTGGGATCGTCAAAGACTTTTAAAAGCATTTTTTCTACAACCTCTTCAGAGGTTGTAAAAAAAATGTTTTTAAAAGCCTCTGACGATCCCAGCTGAGTTGCCTGATCGGCAGAGACTTTTAAAAGAAAAAAAGCCTCTGCCGATCAGGCAACTCATCTGGGATCGTCAGAGCCTTTTGAAAGCATTTTTTTACAACCTCTTCGCCGAAGAGTTTGTAGAAAAAATGATTTTAAAAGTAAAAAAAAAATGGCCACACCCACCCAGTCACATTACCCAGCCCCACCAAGCCACGCCCATAGAACCGGTGGTAAAAAATTTTAGATTTCACCACTGGCCTGTTCCCAGGGTGCGCATGCGCAGAGTTGCCAGACGAAGGGAACAGGTAAAGAACAAGGGTCGACTTGGGAGAAAGGCCACAGGTGGACGATGAAGGGCCCCTCCCAGAGGGAATAAAAGAGAAGCGAAAGGGGAGTGGAGTTTGCAGGAGACAATTGGTTCACTTAATTGGTTCGTGACTCCTTGCCAAGTTTTGAAGTTATCGGCCTGGCAACTCTCCAAGCCAGATAAAGGTCTGTGACTGTAAATACTCCCTTGAAAGACTTTTCTGGGTGTGAATCAGTGGTGGGTTCCTCCCGGTTCGGTCCGGTTCGGCCGAACCGGTAGCGGTGACGATATGATGTCACCGAACCGGTTTCCCCCCGCCCTCCCACCTCCCCACCCCCCACGTTATTCTTATCTTTTATTTGGTCCCACCCCCAATCTATTGCTGCCTCCTGGGTCCCAGCTGATGACTAGAGGGAAAAAAACTGTTTAAACTCTTGGTGCGGGGCTTCAAAGGGCCGCCCTACAGCTGATCAGTGTTAAAAGCAAACAAATGAGTCGGATCGTAAGTGCGAGGACTGGTCGTAAGTGCGAGGACCTTCCAGAAATGACTCTGACCGGCTAGCCACGCCCACCTAGTCACATGACCTCCAAGCCACACCCACAAAATAAGCCACGCCCACAGAACCGGTAGTAAAAAAAATTAGAACCCACCCCTGGTGTGAATGAGAGGAATTCTCAGTCACTTAATAAAAAGGGGTTTTTGTCGGGACAAGGAGTCTTTGTCGTGCTCTTGGGAAGCCTAAGTCAGAACATCAGTTCCCCAAACAACAGCCCCTATAAAACCCACAGAGTAGGAGCCCACTCACAGAGCAAGGTCCAGAGTCCCAAATCCAGGCCACAAGGCAGAGTCCAGGCACAAGAAAAGGGCAGTCTTCATGGCCAAGAAAAGACTCACGTCAGTAGTGGGTTACAAAACTCATTGCTACTGGTTTGCTCGGACGGTTTGCTCGTCCGGCGTGGGTGGGTGGAGCCTCCCTCCCACCACCGCCGCTACCGGTTCGCCGATCCGGGTAGAACCGTAAGCAACCCACCACTGCTTCACATCATGAGACCATTTCGAAGGCCCAGTGAAGAATATGAAAAACAGTTACAAGAACACCATTCGCTTAAAAAGTGACATGGCTCACTTTAAAAAAAACAACAACAACACCTTCCTTAGCAGCAGAAATTGGGAGCCCGATTGCGGTCATAAGCCGAGGATCGCGTGTGTACCTACCCTGAAGTTTATAGCCTTCCTGGCACATCTCTGTTGGGACCCTCAAAATTATCAGGGTTTCCGAGACATAAAACAACTCTAACTCTGTTACAATGGTGAAATCTAAAATTTGTTACTACCGGTTCTGTAGGTGTGGCTTAGTGGGGGGGGGGCGTGTAGTGTGACTGGGTGGGCATGGCCAATTTTTTTTTAACTTTTAAAAGCATTTTTTCTACAACCTCTGAAGAGGTTTAAAAGGTTTAAAAGCCTTTTAAAAGCCTTTGACGATCCCAGCTCAGCCGTGCGATCATCAGAAGCTTTTTTTTTTTTACTTTTAAAAGCATTTTTTCGGCCCAAGAGGTTGTAGAAAAAATGCTTTTAATTTTTTTTTTTTTTTAAAAAGCCTCTGATGATTGAGCAGCTCAGCTGGGCATGGGGGTGGGGGGCAGGGATTTTTGCTACCGGTTCTCCGAACCACCCACCTCCATCGCTACCGGATCGCGTGATCCGGTCTGAACCGGGAGCATTTCACCCCTGCTCTGTTATTGAAAAGTCTGCTTTAGACATCCGTTTTAAAGAAACAAAAGGAAAAAAAGTTAAGAAGAAGGAAGTTTGATTCTGCTTTAAGTTCCACGTCCTCCAAAAACATTAGGGGACCGGAGGCTAAAACATACGATGAACGGTTGCAGGAACTGGGCCTGGCTAGTCTAGTGAAGAGAAGGACCAGGGGAGACAGGAGAGCAGTCTTCCAAGATACAAGGTTTGCTATAAGACCTAATAAATTGTCAAATTGAGCTAAATCCGGAAACATTTCTCCTGGGAATATTAAAAACTAAATTTGATTTTTTAAAAATAAGATATTTGATCCTACGCATACTAACAGCGGCAAGAATTGCGTTCGCGCAATATTGGAAGGAACGCAACATACCACCAGAGGGATTGATCATCCAGAAAATATATGAATGTGCCAAAATGAACAAACTTACTTAGAGTTAAATGAAAAAGATGAGTTGGAATATTATGCGGTTTGGGGAAAATGGTATAGGTCAGTGATGGCTAACCTTTTTGCCATCGCGTGCCAGGAGCAGGGGGAAGGGGGGGGGGTCACGTACATGCGTGCCCATACTCATAATTCTATGTGTCCCGCACATGTGCATGTCACACACCTCCACACTCCTGGCACGTGGTGGCCCGGTGGGCCCTTTTTTCTCTCTCCCCAGGCTCCAGAGCCTTTCTAGGAAGCTCGGGAGGGCGAAAATGGCCTTCCCCACCCCCACCCACCCCCGGAGACCCTCCAGAGGCCAGAAACGGCCTGTTTGCCAACTTCCGGAACAAACTTGTTCATTTTCGGCCTCCAGAGGGCCTCTGGGTGGATGGGGAAGGCTGTTTTCACCCTCCCCAGACTCCTAGAAAGGCTCTGGAGCCTGGGGAGAGAGAAAAACGGGGCTTCCCCACACACACCCCAGCCCTCCGGAGGAAGGAAACAGCCTGTTTCCCTACTTCTGGTGGGTCCAGAAAGCCCGAAAGTCAGCTGGCGCGCGTCGGAGCTGAGCTCTTGTGGCCACCAATATGGCTACGCATGCCACCTGTGGCACGCGTGCCACAGGTTCACCATCACGGGTATAGGTGGATAGACAAACAGAAACAAAAATAGGTAATATACAGAAGGAATTTGAGGAATAGACATTAAACGTATATATATATATATATGTATATAATGTATATATTACATGAATTGTTAACCCAAAGTATAGAAAAATGACACTGTCTGTCTGACTATGTATTAGAGTTATGAAAAAGAAAAATTATAATAAAAAATATTTTTTTTAAAAAAAAGATAGCATTGTTCCAATATTTGAGGGGCTGCCACAGAGAGGAAGGGGGTCAAGCTATTCTCCAAAGCACCCGAAGGCCAGACAAGGAACAATGGATGGAAACTGATCAAGAAGAGATTCAACCTAGAAATATGGAGAAATTTTCTGAAAGTGACAGCAATCAACCACTGCTCGGTGGATTATCGCTTAATCTTTTACACCAGAAATGTCAAACTGGATTTTTTTGAGGGCTGGATCGGCATTGTAGTTCTGCACCACGGACTGGCTGGAGGTGGGTGGGGGGCAGGAGAGATGTTACGGACGTCTCCTGTTGTAAGATAAGGATTGCCTGTAGAACCTTTCTCCTCGTGGATGAAAAATCGCTGCAAACGTCCCTTCGTGGTTGCCAGTTTGATGTGTTTGTATGTGTATGTATGTATGTATGTATGTATGTATGTATGTGTGTGTGTGTGTGTATTTGAGTGCGGGTGTTTGTGTATATGTGTGGGTGTTTGTGTATATAGCTGTGTCTTTGTGTTTGTGTGTGTGTGAATCTCTCCTATGCACACTGCCTCTCCCGCCAGCGCGTGTGGAAATAATGCTGAAAATAGGGGCCGCGTCAAAACGTATCTTAATTACAGCCTCCCCAATGCAGCTATTGTTTTTCCCCAATGAGCCACAACTGGGGAAGAGCAAAACTCAGCATAATTAAGGATG